CATCATTTTAAGTGCAGCTCCGAGTGGCAAAATATGTCTCCAATAGTGGCAAATCCGAGTGCCCCAGAGGGTGTACCGGGAATGGAAGAGCAGATGCACAGAACCGCGAGGAGGGATAGAAAGAATAAGAAGTGCTGTACAAAAGGGAGGGAGTTAGCTATAAACAAACATCGCGGGAAACAAAGGGAGAGGAGCTGTAAGCCGCCGCCGAGGGGGAGGGTTTCAAACTGTTGACATTTTTAAGAGTTCTGGGAGCAGTTCAGGTAAACACCGGCTATTGTTTTACGATACAGTGGCCGGAAACGTCAGTCTTTCCCTGGGAGGCAGCGGCTCCGTCGGTGGATTGATGTGAAGGTGTGTGCAGTGGACGCTAGTGCGGCTGGAGTTGGTGCAGTAAGAAAGACTGCAATTTAAAAGGAGTCAGTGTAAAATGAATTAGTGCAATAGGAGTCAGGGCAATGGGAATCAGTACTAATCAGTGTTGGGAAGGTGACTTTTAAAATGTATTCCCCTACAGATTACAGATTACATACCTCAAAATGTAGTTTGTAACGGAATCCGTTAAGTTACTGAAGGTGAGTAACGTAATCTGAATACTTTGGATTACTTGATTTGCTGTAGAGAAGCAAAGACTAGGAAATCTTCACATAAGAAGTTTTGTCCTGGTTTAGACCTGGTTTAGACCTGGTTTAGACCTGGTTTTAGTCCTAGTTTACACCTGGTTTTAGACCTGGTTTAGACCTGGTTTAGACCTGGTTTAGACCTGGTTTTAGACCTGGTTTTAGACCTAGTTTACGCCTCGTTTCGACCTGGTTTCGACCTGGTTTTAGTCCTAGTTTAGACCTGGTTTAGACCTGGTTTTAGACCTGGTTTTAGACCTGGTTTAGACCTGGTTTTAGACCTGGTTTAGACCTGGTTTTAGACCTGGTTTTAGACCTAGTTTAGGCCTCGTTTAGACCTGGTTTAGACCTGGTTTTAGACCTGGTTTTAGACCTGGTTTAGACCTGGTTTTAGTCCTAGTTTAGACCTGGATTTAGACCTGGTTTTAGACCTGGTTTAGACCTGGTTTTAGACCTGGTTTAGACCCGGTTTAGACCTGGTATAGACCTGGTTTTAGACCTGGTTTAGACCCGGTTTAGACCTGGTATAGTGTCCGGCAATGAGTGGGGGGGGGGGGGGGGGGTGATATAGCCCAAAATGTAAAAACAGGAAAATACCTCCGTGTTATCCATTCATTTCAACAAAGTAACTGTAATCCAATTACCACTGATTGAAACAGTAACTGCATCCAAATACAGTTACTCATAATTTGTACTCTGATTACGTAACTCCGGTACATGTAATCTGTTACTCCCCAACACTGGTACTAATGCAATCGATGCAATATGAGTTGGTGCAATACGAATCTGTACAGTAGGAATCAATCTACTGTATTTTTCAGACTATAAGTCGCACCAGTCAAACACTGCGTAATGAAGAAGAAAAAAAACATATATAAGTCGCACTTCTTAGGGAAAATTTATTTTATTAAATCAGACACCAGGAACCAACATTTCATCTTCAAAGTCAAGTTCTAGTAATAACAATAGAACAGAGAACAACAGACTGTTAACGTCACATATGAACAGTTCTTCAGATAAACTATAACATAAACAACAGAACAGAACAAGTTTAACAAACTCTCCATCTCACTCCAAATCACTAAATCCATTCAATTCTTCATCCTCTGTGTCACTTCTGAGCCACTCGGCGACCTCCGGAGGTAAACAGAGCACCACTTCCTCTTCTGTGTAGCTGTCGTCAGACTCAGCATCAGTTCCAGTTAGAATTATTCCAGCCTTTCTGAATCCCGACAGGATGGTTTTCGGTGTCACTGAAGTCCAGACTTTGTCGATCCATCCAGTGACTTCCAGGAAAGTCACATGGCGCATCCTCTTGGTGTCCTCGCTCACTCCAAACTTTCTTTCTGCTGCTCAGTTACCATTTTCACCTGCAGATTTCTCTACTTGCAGTTTGTAATCTGCAAAATATGCAATAATATTTTTGGGGGCATTTGTGTTCAGTCTTCTCATTTGTCTTATTAAGTTTGTTTAAATTTTTTATTTTCGGTGGTACAGAAGTAATGGTGTGATCGACTGACATGATACAGACTTGTTTTCTGCAGGAGACATGCGCAGTAGAGCAAAGTGACAGTGGTACAGGAGGAACAGGAGCAGCAGATACTGACACACAAGACTAGAGCCTCTCACGGCTTCAGTGTAAAAAATTTCAATATATAAGTCGCAGGAAACACCAAAACCATGAAAAAAAGCGCCACTTATAGTCTGAAAAATAAAAATGGTGCAATAATAACCTTTGCAAGTGGAATCTGTGTAAATAAATAGAATCAATTATATAATGAATCAGTGCAATATGAATTTGTGCAATTGGAATCAGACCAGTAACTGTAACATCAACCTGCCAGAGTTTCTGCATAACTTTCATCTAGAGTGAGTTGTTATTACTTTCCCTGGAATGTTCCACACTAATCTCAAAAATATCTTAAAAAAACATAAAATTCATACTGTGAGGAGGGACACATTTCCACAAATCTGACCTTAAATCGACCTGGTGTGGAGAAATAACATCTCCACTAGGAAAAAATTTGTATAGCACATCTTTGACATCTGCAAATTCTCCTTCGTTTTTACCTATTTACTTTGCCAACACTTGCAGTACAAATGAGTCACGTTAGCCTATATTTGTGTTCGCATCGTGACAGAGTTGACTGGATAACGCGAGCGAGGTGATACAGCGGAGCCATCATACAGGGAGTCTGCGTATTTATCGCATTTTTCATTTTGGGCCCGGGCTCGTGACAACTGAAGGAAATGCATTATTCATTACGGTAGACAAAACCCTCGTGGCTATACGCGTTTGCATCGGGAAGAAATGAACAGTGACTGCATTTTAAGGATCCCATATTCGTCCCAAAGGAAGTCATGTCATTTTAAGGATTGTATATTGTGTACTGTTAGCGTTTTTTATAGATGTGTAATATTTCTACCCGAGACTGCATTCTCCGCTTACTTCCCGCCGACTTTATTGTGTTTTTTGAGTTGACACCGATATATTAATGGGTTTAAAGGGCCCGTATTACGATATATTCTGTTATAATTTTGTTTCCTCATCATGAACAGACCTGGAGTTTTGTTTTGTTTCATTCTCATTTTGTTTAACACACAAACCCTGAAGATTTAGGCTTAGGAGTTCTTCTGTCAAACTGAAAATACTCTGTTCCAACTTGTGATGTCAATGGCAATACGGGAAGTTCTCCACTGTGTTTATAAACCATGTGTTGAACTTAATCCTAATGCTGTCGAAGTTTTACAGAAGCCCTGAGAAGCAAGAGAAAAAAAATAAAAGAGGCAGATCATTTGGGCTCAATTTTCTAAGTGTTTTTTTTTTTTTTTTCACCATCTAAAAAAAAAAACAAAAAAAAAACAACATGAAAATAGAGCCCAAATGACCTGCCTCTTTTTTTTTCTTTTTTTTTTTCTCTTGCCTCTCAGGGCTTCCGTAAAGTTTCATATCCAGTGGTGTAAATTTTGTAGTCAGAAACCCAAATTTGTTGTATTTCAGTCCCTCTTGTCTTCTTATATAAATTCTCTAAATTATTGCACAAATCCCAAAGCCTTGAAGACAGAAGCACTTTGTACAGAATATGAAATATGACAACGAACTATATTTGTACATGTATATCAGTATATTTTTATTGTAATGGATATATGTGTTATTAATGAAGATGTTGCGCATATTGAGCCCTGTGAACATATGAACCCTTAAGCCTCCAGTGATGTTTTTGTTTATATCATGGTATATTGCATTTTATATTTGAAAAAAAAAAAAAAAAAGTGTGTTAAACTCTGTACACTAGAATCATTTGGATAATTTCTACTTTTTTATTTTTTATTTAATGTATTATTATTATTATTATTATTATTATTATTATTATTATTATTATTATTATTATAATAATAATAATAATAATAATAATAATAATAATTTATAATTTTTATTTTATTTTTTTTTGACAGATTTTTTTTTTGTAGTTTTTTTTCTGTCATTTTGCAGCCCTACAAAACAAAACAAAACAAAACATAGAACTACAACCCCATGGATCATGACCAAAATGGTTTAGACAATTACATAATTCCACGAAATGAAACAACGTATGAACAGCAAGTTTGCATTTACAATTTCACTTATGACTTACTGTTTATATAAGACACAAAATATAAATTAGAATAAACAAAATGTAATGCATTAATTCATTCATTCCAGAGCTCTATATCATTCAAAACATAAAGGCTTCTACAACAGTGTTATACTTTAAAAATCATCAGTCAGTTTGTTCCACTAACTCCTCTAAAAGAAATATATGTATATTTTATTATTATTAGTTCTTATCTCCCTTTTTTTTTTTTTTTTTTTTTTAAGATGCCAGTTTTGTTTTCGTTTATGGTCCCACAAACTAAAAATAATGATAAAGAAGGCTCAAAATGTATTTCTTTTTGTTTTTGTTGTTTATCGTGTCAAAATAAAATGTTAGAATGTTAGAGTGTTAATGTGTTTAGTTAATAGTCGTGGTTTACTTGTGAAGACAATATATCAAGTCTTTTAGGTATTTCTGTAAGATTAGATTTTTATGTTGTTCTAAACTTATTTGTATTTTATTTATTTATTGATCAGTAATGCAGTGTTGACATGTTTGCAATATATAATGTACAGTAAGTAAATTAACATGCAAAGATCTTTACCTGTGGATCCATCACTTCTCAAACCAGCTCCATAAATACACTCTGTCTCATCTTCACCACAGCAGCAGAACCATCAGCCGCCTCAACCTCTTCATCTCTCACCAGTTTTTACTTACTGAGGTCTGAGCGTTAAAGTTTCTGTAGATAGTTTTTGTTTGTGTCCCTCCTGGCTGTTACTGTCCTTAACCCAGCCTTCTGTACGTGGTTCGAGAGGATCAGCATCATGGTGATCCTGCTCAACTGTGTGACCCTGGGCATGTACCAGCCCTGCGAAAACATCGACTGCACCTCCGACCGCTGCCAGATACTGCAGGTACGTGAAAACTACACGCTCCGTGCACTCTCACATCGCTGTATAGTCCACGCTGTAGCTGAACGGACTGTTGAGATGGATGCTTTGTTTTGTTTGCCGTCCTGAGGGGTAAAGTTTGTGCTGTCTTTGGTGTTATGTTCAGAGACTTTTGGACGGTGGATAGTGTTTTGCAGAAAGAGGAGATGACTTGTTGACTACTGAGATTCACTTTCATTCTGGGATCGAAACGTGTCAGCATGTACTTTTAGCCATAATTTATGACTTTTATTTCATATTAGATTCATTCACATGTCTTTTTAAAATCATTTATTTATTATTATTTGATTATTTATTTCAGTCACAGGTATATTTTGACATTAATTCACAGACAGTCATATTTAACATACACAGACCGAAAAAGGTGCAGGCTGAAGCTTAAGCTTATTCTGCCTTTACCCTTTATTCCTTTATCAGAGCTTCATCTTGACACCAGTTCATCTTCATAAATACAGCAAGAGGAAACGAACTAATCAGAAACAGTACAACAAAGTACTACAGCACAAACTAAGTATCATATTTCATGTATCTGTCCAGAGTTAAACATTTAAACTTCTTTATAAAGTGAAAGAGACTGGTGCACAATTTTAGGTTTTCTGTACAGTTGTTCCAGAGCTCCACCCCTTTAACAGATTTACAAAATTTCATAATGTTTGTTCTGATTTAGTTGCAAATCTGAAGAAAATTTCTGTTGAGGAGGACTAGTCAAGTATCTTAAGTATTCAGTTGGTTAAAAGCTAAACTATGTGTAATTATAAGCAATGGAATCATTTGGCATTTTCTCCTTATTGTTTATTTATGTATTTATTTTGGGCAAGTAAGAAATGTATATTCTTTTACAATGGAACACATAACATTAGTAAAAACACAGCAGAAATAATAACAACAAAAAATAAATACAAATTTAAAAATTGGCCCAAAAAGGAGTGGGAAGAAGAAAAGTTATTTAATGCAATAATACATAAGGATACGAACAATGGTAACAGACCAGCAATGGTAAGGAAACAACAAGCATAAACCAGCACTAGAAAAGAAAATATTGTTGTAAAATTAAGACCCATTCTCTATATACTGTGACCAGACCATATAACAACTTGAATTTATGAGTTTTTGGCATTGCTTGAGACGTGTATCCAGACTGTTTCAAACTTTTACATCACATATAGACTAGGGATGGGCATGATTAGTCGATTAATCGATAATTGATCATTAAGAATTTCATCGATTACGTTCATTTTAATCGACAAACTGAATGTAGGTTGCTGTGTGTAGCGTGGGGTGACCAAACATCCGTGTCCGGGAACAAACAGGTCTGTACATGTGTCTCTCTGCACTCAGAAGGAACGAGACACAAACAGTTGGTCGAAGTGCAAATGTGTATTTAACGATGACTTGTACAAGAAATTCCACACTTTCCGTTGCGTTTGGGACAAGTTTGAGGCCATGTGCACAGTGTACAAAGCAGCACATTTGTTTCGGTGTCCAATGGGAAAAAGTTTTACCAGGTGAGAGTCGCGCAATGTCGATGATGAGTCCCCACCTCCCTCCCCCCGTACGGTGTCCTGGTTTTGACAAACGCAAATATGGTCACACTAACCTGTATTCACCTGAGTCGTGCCGCATCAGCGCACAAGAGCTGTTTTTTTTCTTCGCTTAATTTATTAGTCATGCGGTTTTAAGTTTCGTTTCTGTGAGACTTGTGCAAAGCTGCATTAAACACATTATAATCTCAAACGGGCTGATGTGGCTTTACAGTGGTTACGGTTTATATGTCGTAAAGTTGAATTTATTTATGCAGATTAGTAGTGCAGATAGTAATAATAATGATAATAAATTTTAATATAAAAAACATTAATGATTAATCGATAGTTATTTCTCCCGCCGATCGATTAAGAACATTTAATTGAATGCCCATCCCTAATATAGACACACAGAAACTTTTATGGGTAGTTCGAACACTGGGAAATTTGAAATGTCCATACCCTCTAAAATGATAAGTTCTCTCTCTCATTTTGAACAAACCCACTTGGGAGTAAATTGTTGCATGCTCTAAATAAAATTATAAGTGTATAATATTTTCAAGGTCGGGAATCTTGAGGGGCTTGGATTGAATAAAAAGATTATGGGTGTGTTCTAAAAAAAACAACTTTATGGATAATTCGCAAAGCTCGTTTCTGTAATATAATCAGTGGATGAAGTGTACATTGGTAAGTGTTCCCCCACACTTAAACACAGTCTGTGAAATAAGGGAGAACCAATGAACAGCATAATGTACAAAGGTCATTTTGATCGAGGTAATATTTCACTTTGTTTACTATAGCAAAACTTTTGGAAATTTTTGGTTTTATATGTCTAATGTGGGCTTTCCATGATAATTTACTGTCTATTATAACTCCCAGGAATTTATACTCATATAGGCTGCATACGTAGATCTCTCTGCCCTGGGGCCTGCTGATTAGGGATACACTGATAAAACCTTTTTCAGTTTCAGTACTGATATTGATACTTCATCTTTTGGCATCTGTCAGTATCCATTATTTACCGATACTAGCATAGGGACTGAAAATGGCATTTTATTTCCCTTAAACTACAGTTAACTTACTACAAAATTGATCCATTTGTGTTATTTATTCTGCTGCAAGTCACGACAGAACAGCTTGTATGAATACAGTTAAACATTACAAGATGTTCTAGGACTACATTTGCCAGTAAACTGTCTTACTCCAAATATCCAAATAAAGGCCCAGCCAGGGTATGAACCGATATCATGAAACTGATACCCAATCCAACTAATTTTCTTTGAAACTTTTTGGTGGATCGCCCACCACCTGATGTCTCACTAAAGATGCTTTGCCAGTAATGTTACACAGCACAATCAAACAAGTCAGTGACAAAGAATTCATGTTTGTCAAAGTATTTGTCTTAATATCTTTAATTATGATGATAATGATTTTTATTATTATAGTGTCTCACACATTTGTGCCCAGACCACATGGGCTCACAAGATGCTGTAAACAGATTTACAGACGACTACAGACTGATAAATAAACAAATAACCACTCTGACAAAAACATACTCTAAACATACAGGATATAACATGTGTTGTCTCCTGTCCCAAGTTCTAGTCATGTAACAAACTAAAACAAAAACCTCCTCATTATAAAGAAATGAATTAAGTAAGTCTTTATTTATATAGCGCTTTTCATAGAGATATGTCACAAAGACGCTTTACAGAACATTATTCAGCATTATTCATTCACTTCATACCCAGTGATGGTAAACTACTATTGTAGCCACAGCTGCCCTGGGGCAGACTGACAGAAGCGTGGCTACCATGCCAATTGGCGCCAACAGTCCCTCCAACTACCACCATCACTCACGCACACACCATTTCTTACTAGGCAATGTGAGTGAAGTGTCTTGCCTAAGGACCCAACGGCAGTTATTCCCACCGATGCCCCCATGTGGCACCTGATTTTCCCAGTGTCTCCCATCCAATAATACAGGTCTGGCCTTGCTGAGCTTCTGAGATCTGACAGGATCAGGTTTTGACAAGCCAGTATGGCCATGTCATAATTTTGTAATCCAGCAACAGAAACACATCAGGGTTTGATGACTGTGCAGCAGTAAATAAAATATTCTTCAGATCAGAATACAGAGAAGAATAAAGAACATAATGAAACTCCTCTACCAACCTCAGGTCACACAGGGAGCAGACTCGCTCCTCCTCAGCGAGACCTTTGATCCGACCCACCTCCACTGCCAGGGGCAAAGTGCCAGTCCTCAGCTGGGCACAGAGCCACCGCTGTTTTCTGGTCAAATTTCAAATAACATAGAGCTCGGTTTGATACTCCTTAAAATGTATGTAATTTCTCAACTTTGCTTTTATACAAATGTCAAATTTCCATTGTTATTTGAAGCTGGCCAGCAGTTTCTGTTTCAGCAAATTACATATTCTTTAAAAAGTAGTAGTAGTAGTAGTAGTAGTAGTAGTAGTAGTAGTAGTAGTAGTTGAGCATTCCAGGCAAAGCAATAGGATCTCAATAGAATCGATTTAGGCAGAAGCTCTGTGAAAGAAAGATTACACAGTGCAGCTTTTCAATCTCATGCTAGAAGAGTTTCCTAATTATTGACACAAAAGTCGAGCAAAGTAGCTGCAACAAAACAACGCACATCAAGCCCAGGAACCTACAGCTTGAGATTTTGTAAAACCCCTAATCGAGTCTGTGAGAGCTTTGTCAGGTTCTGGACTTTTGAAATGCCACAGAATCACTGCAATCGCTTTGTTCAACATTTGTACAGAATCAATTAAAACAATTTTCTCTTCATTTATCAGTTCTCACAGATCCTCTCATCCAAACTGAAATAGTCAAATTGAACGCACACTCGGTGCCAAAAACCTCACTATAAAACGTTCATTTGTTCCGTGCTTTTCCAGCCCCCTGGGACGAGGTAATGAGATGGGGAGAGATTTTCTAACAATCGGCCATTTTGAAAAGTCTTGCGATATCATTATGTTCTGGCTCTAAGATGTTTTGTTGTAGCAGTAGAAAGGAGAGCTAACTACACAGACCACAATCCTTTGCTCAATTTGAGTGTAACAGAGGAGGAAAATTACTCTTTCATTTCATTTTTGTCTTGGTAAAAATGGTAATAGTAAAAGAGCTCAAGCTTTGTAAGGTTTTTTTTTTTTTTTGACGAATAAGCAGCATTTTTTTCAAACTTTTAAATTCAATCTTTCTATTTTTGTGCCTATAGTTGAGCAATTTGCATTCCAGGCCCAATGGGGGTGACACTTGCACAGTTGAAAGAGCGTTTGTCCAAAGGTTGATGGTTCGAATCCCATTTTTGACATAAACATCATTGGTTGAGAGGTCAGATCCACGTTCCTTATGTATAAGTTGGGACTACCAGGACTAAACCAGAACTAAAATGAAGACTAAACCAGGACTAAAATCAGTTCT